CACCTGCAGGGGCTGAGACCAGGAAGAGGCTCGAGACAGGCAGACCCCGTCTCAGTCGCATGTGCAGGGCAGCTGAGCCCCCCAGAAACCAGCAGCCTCTTGGGGGAGGGACCAAGTGGGCTCCCGGTGTCCACTTGGTGAGATAGCATGCTTCTGGGTGGAGGTGCCCCTGCCATGGCTCCTCAGTGGTGGCGAGGCCAGGGGAGCTGGGGCCACTGCCTCGAGCAGCCCTGCATGTCTGGCTGGGGAGGGTTTGGGTTGCGTGCATGCAGCACCCGCACCCTGCAGGTGGACAGTCCACAGCCAGAACAGAGAGGGATCTCAGCATAGCAAATTATCACAAACTAAGCAGCTTAAGACAGTTTATTTACGGCAGTTTATTCTCTCACAGTTCTGGAGGCTGGAGTGTGAAACTGGGGTGTTGGCAGGGCCCCACTCTCTAGCATCTGGTGGTCTCTGGCCATCCTTGGCTTTCTTTGGCTTGTAGCTGCATAACTCCAGTATGCCTCCATCTTCCTGTGGCCACCTGCCCTCTGCATACCTGTGTCTTCACATGGCCTCCTTTCTCTGCACGTCTCCTCCCGTTCTTAAAAGGACAGTAGTCATATTGGATTAAGGGCCTACCCTCCTCTAGTACAACCTCATCTTAATGTACACTTAATTAAATCTGCAAAGATCCTATTTACAAATAAGGTCACATTCACAGGTACCAGGGGCTAGGACTTCAACGTTTCCTTTTACCAGCCACAAAGAAAGAGTTATGGAAAAGTTCACGAGCCAGGAGCAACTTTCCTTCTTGGAAAATTAATCTGAGAGGCCCCACCTGAGCCACTGGCCACCTCAGCTTGCAGGAGTCACCAAGCCTGTCAGAGCCGGTTCCTCATCTGTAGGACTCCTGTGTCCTGTGAAGAGGCATTGAACATGGTGCCCCATTTCTCTCTGATAAATCACAGGAGCTCAATGGCTTCTGCTTCCTGAGTTACAAACCAGGTCCTCACTTCATCCAGAAAGGAAAATAGCTGTGGGAATTAGGATGAAGTCGTGTGCCAATCACAGTTTTTGGTATCTCCAGGTTACATCATGTTTTCAGCTGGGGTGGAAGAGAATTCTCCACAGTGCCATGAGGTCAAATGAAAGCTCACAATGTGCAGTGTGAAGACCACCTCCTCCAGGAAGCCTTCCCTGCCCACTTTCTCATTCCTTGAGTCCCTGGGCAGAGCTGAACACCCCACCTCACCTCTGGGCTTCCCAAGTGCCACATACATCCCTGGGTGAGACCCGCTCACAGGGTCTGGGGCGGCAGTCGCTGCCTCTCCTATAGGCAGCCAGCACAGGTCTTTCCCATAAATCCATCTGTCTTTGCCGTCAGCTGCTAGATGCAAGACTGGTTACAACGACAGGCTATAACTAACAGGAAAACGAGGCTCCATTTTGGCTGAAGAGACATTCCTAAAAAACTGGCTTCAGGGAGGAAGTTATGTTAGCAAACCGCTCAGGCCCTGCTGTGCCTCAGCAAGCCTGAGGCTGGCCACCTGCTGCCACCATCGGCAGGTCACCCAGTGGGGCCCCAGTGTCTCCACCTGCAAAGTGAGGGAAGCAGCCCTGCCCTACTGCATTAGCGGACAGTTCAGTGACACGAGGACGGGAAAGTTCTGGCCACCAGCTGCCACTCAGTAAACAGGACTTCTTATCCCTTCTTCCAAGTCTCATTTTCTTACCACTCGGTAGAGAAAAGCAAAGTTCTAAGGGATGAATGAGAAATAAAGAAAAAGTAAAATGGGGCCTTGTTTTAGGACAGTGGCTTGGCCTTTAGTGCAGCATTTCTCTGTGGCCACCATGGTGATGGTGACCGTTTAATTCAAGAGTGGAAGCTTGAGTAGAGGACTGATCAATCTTGCTTATGCCCAACTGCTAACATCCTAAAAAAAACAAAATGAAGGAACTTCAGCTTGTATGTGAAATGCCTTTCTTCTCTCCTGAGTCCCAAGCTAACAGCCTGTCCCAGCAGCCACAGACAGGGTGGCTGCTGCAGGCTGAGCCATGTCCCCACAAAATTCATGTTGAAGCACTCACACCCCATACCTCAGAATGTGAATGTATTTGGAGCAATGCTCTTTAAAGAGTCAATTAAGTTAAAATGAGGACATTAGGGTGGGCCTTAATGCAACCTGACTGGTGTCCTTATCAGAGATTAGGATACAGACATACAGAGGGACGACCACGTGAGGACACAGGGAGAAGATGGCACCTGCAAGCCAAGGAGAGAGACCTCAGCAGGAAGCAACCCCGCCCACACCTTGATCTCGGACTTCCTGACACTAGGACTGTGGGACATCTGTTATGTCACCAGTCTGTGGTACTCTGTAATGGCAGCGCTAGGAAACTAATACAGTGTGACACAAAATATGGTAGGAGCTCCTGACAGAAAAGAGAAGCAGGCCAAAGCCTTGGGAAACCTACCTGAAGGGATGAAATCCAACCCAAAGAGCTCCCAAACTCAAGGCCAGTCTGGACAGAGGTTAATATACCCAAGACAACAAGTTGGACAGGATGGGACTGATGGGATTGGGGAGACAGCAAGCAGGACACTTTTGTCTGCAAATGATGGAAACCCAACCCAAGTGGCCTTGAGTGCCTGGGGCCCTGGGGCATTCAGCAGCTCCCAGAGCATGAAGTCTATAGGTGAGGAGGTTCAGGGATTGGGAGCACAGTGGCTGGGCGAGACGTGGGACCAGGCTCTCCCTGGTACTCTGCCATGCTCAGGTGTGGCTTCATCCACAGCCGGGTGCAGACTGCCTGTAGCAGCTGCAGGTGTCACATCCCTCCCAATGGGATGACATCCAAAACAGATAGCACCTCTTTCTTAGGAATGACACAACTCTTCCCGGAAGCCCCCAGAAGACTTCTATTAACATCCTGTTACCCAGAGAGGAGACATGCTCATTCCTGACCCAACTGCTGACGATGGCATCACCTGGGTAGAATGGGAGCAACTGTTAGAGCGGGCTCTGTCCGTACCGTCATCTGGGAACCCTGTCTAGGATCCTGGAAACTGGCTCTAGTCCTCCAGAAAGGGGCCAGGCAGGCACAGGTCAAGTCCAGTGTCTAGGAATCCTGAAGATGATCGATGAGGCAGCTGTGGCTCCATGTGACGGCAAGCAGAAGAGGAAGTGGCAGCCTGCTGCTCAGAGCCCTGATACCTGGCCAGTTCCCGACATGACAGGAGCCATTCTCTCGCAGCAGCTCTTTCTGCCTGGTGTTGAGAAGACGCATGGGCGGAACTGTAACAGAAAGCTGCCCTGCTTTGACCCAGTGCATGCCGTCCTTTGTACCCAGATCCCACATGCCTTGGAGTAAAGAGTGAACTGGCTGAATATTGTGTTACATAAGGTCCCAGACAGCCTTTTGCTTTAAAATATGTTGTTTATTTTTTTCTCCACTTATGAAAACAGCACATTATCAAAGCAGATGATTTATAAAACACAAAAATCCGCCCAAGGGAAACAAGAAGAAAGGCCCCTCTACTCCCACCACCTAGAGGGAGCACTGGCGATCTCATGGCTCTGGGAGCTGCCTCTGACAAAGGCAATAGAGGCAGGGGCCGAAGGCTGCCCTGGCCCCGGGGTGAGGTGGCAGAGGAGGAACAACACACTTAGCAGAGTTTTGAGGATAAAACTGAAGTCTTGTCCTTCAAAAACTAAAAGCCATTTCTCTCTTCCTTAGCACACTTTCAAGGTCTGCCGGATGAGACGGAGGGTGCCCGCTGCTGCAACTCCCGCAGGGATTCTCCCCCCTTGGCTCCCACGGCCACCAGTGCAGGCAGTACAGCACAATGCACTAAGACACTGGATTGGTTGTAAAAACTGGAGTGGATCCAAGGTGATCCCCTCAATTACCCACTCAGTGCTCTCAGGAACAGGAGGGGTGAAGGAAGGTGACCCTAGGGACCGGCATGGGTGGGAGGCCATGAACACAAGGCATCACATACATCCACATAACTTACGCAGAACTGACAGAACAACCTGCTTCACTGAGCTGTATCTCACTGTGTGTACAGGATGCCTTTTAAGTACTGAGAGAAGACAAAAGAGCTCATATTTGAAGGGAGAACACAGTGTCCCCAATGTTAAACTTCCAAAGGTTTTGCATATATAATGGCAGCCTAATATTTAGTCTCTGGCTCAAAATACTTTCCCCCACAACCATTTTTTAATACTGCAAAGCCCATCCCCTATTTGGGGACAGTCTGAAGGGCATGTCTGGGCTCCCTTGGGATCAGGCTGGCCTCTCTTTCCTCTCAGCCAGATGCCCAGGCAAACTGGCCACAGCCAACTCCCCAGAGCTCTGTGAAGCACGCAGGAACCTGTGCAATCTGGAATTGAGGGCTGGCGTCCCAACTCTGCAGGTGCCGACCTGTGCATTCCACGGGAGGCAGCACGTCGTGGCAGACAGAGACACGAGGCTTGGGGTGGAAGTCCCACTCTGCTGCTGGGTGCCCTCAGGCCAGGCAACCCCTGCGGGTCTCAGTTTTGTCATCTGTAAAATGGGATAGTACTTACCTCAGGAGCTACCGAAGGGATTAAATAAAACACGGGAAGCACATTACACAGGACCTGGTGTGCAGGCTCCACGCATCACAACCTCCGTTCACCTACTTCACAGCAACCCTGTTTCCCCGTTTTAAAAAGAACTATGCCTGTGGGTCCAGGCTTGGAAGTAATCCATGCAGAGCCAGGGCCCACTGGAGAGGGATGGCAAAGCCCACATGCTCTGGACCAACAGTGAGCAGCCCTGCGAGGGCTCTGCCAGGGCCTGACAAAGAGCAGGCCTGTGTGGGAGGACCCGGGGGCACCAAGGCAACACGGGCGGAAAACCTCGGGGAAGGAAGCCCTTTCACTGGCCCAGCTACAGCCCCTGCAGAACGACGGTGCCCGTGACTGCTTTGCCTTCAATCACGTTGTTAAACACTTAACATATGGACATCTGCTCCTTGACGTTTGTCTTTGTCCATCTGTCATCCTCAAAATGAAAGTCCAGAACCTTCTGCACTAACTTTAAAGTCTGGCTGAACATTGAGTAATGAACAAAGCTGAAAACACAAAAGAAAAGAGATGGGGTTTTAAATCTTGTGCATTTTTACTCACAAATAAGGATGTGACTCTACCTCTTGCTGTGGCTTTTCTCACCTAGTCCCCAACCCTGAGATAAGTTCTGATACCTGGTCTCTAGACTGTCTTCAGTTTTCCCACTTGGAGACACAAAAACGATCTGCCTCTACTGACTACCCATACAAGCGCACACAGCCGCAAGACCGTTAACAAAGTGGCCCCCGGGGCTTGCACCAGCTACATCTCAGACCCACAGCCAGGCACACCTAGCAAAAAGAAACACACAACAACAAACCTGTTTAAATTTTCCTCTAATTCTGTCTAAGTCTTCGTGGAGTCTATCATACGTAGGGTCATCATAAGGGAATTTCTGAATCATTCCAATCAGTGATTCTAAGACCTTCATCTTTTTGCTGTAAAGCAAAGAAAGAAAGACTTAGTCCTTTGTATACAGGTTCAACTTGTATAATAACCATACTGATTACTTATTTAAAAGCAAGAGTCGTGCTATGAATGCCTTAGTTCAGAAGCTGGAAGGTAAATTTCCTCATTAAATAATATTTATCTACATAGCAATGTGCTTCGCCCACACCCCAACAGCAAGTGCCTATCTAGCTTGCAGATATGCCTGTATTCCAGCCACGGAGCTGAGTGACTGAGGCTGCCTGCCACGAGCACACCACGCTGGCTCTCGAGGTCACACACAGAAATGGACAGAATGAGGCAAGAAAGAGAACGGCTAGGGCACGACTGAGCCTGCCCCTGAATCTGGGGATTTTCCAGCGTTTGGAAACTTCGTGCTCACAGCTTTTGGGAGTTCACCTGCGGTAAACCAGCAAGTTCCCTCCCTCCAAAGGGCAGAAATCATTCTCTGGTGTCTGAGGTCCCCTTTCCAAGAGTGACAATGAGCTTTGCTGGGGAGGCAAGGAGGTTCTGCAGAAAGGACGGGCACATGCTCAGGAGACGGGCAGCCTTGAGGACTGTGCAGAGACACTTAGTTACTTAACTTCTCTCAACCTCAGTGTCCTCATCTGTAACATGGGAGAGTAACAGCAACCTCACAGGCTTTCAAGAGGATTAAATAATGTGAAGCCTGGAATCTAGTTTAGAGTACATGCTCAATAAACGTTAGTCTCCTGGCTTCCACCGCACCCTGGAAACCACAGCCCTCACCTGTGGGGGCTTAAAAATAACCTGCACATGTGCACATCTCGGTGGGATCCAGGTCTTTTCAACGCACCACGAGTGATCCTGAGGAGCACCCCTCCCTAGACCACACCTAATCATCTGAGTGGCAGAAGTGTGCTAGATATCTGATCAAAGGGAATTTTAAACCACTGACCTTTTTTTTTTTTCTCCTTTTTGTCTTTTTTCGTGTCTGGCAACGGATTGCAACTCTCAGTGTCGCGCCCGTACCAGACTGGGACCGGCAACGGGATCACAACCCTCGGTGTTGCGCCCGCACCTCACTCAGCCAGTGAGCGGGAACCGGTCTGTATGTGGGATCCGAACCCTCGGCGGGAGCGCCGCCACGCTCCCACACGGCGCACTGTAGCAGTGCGCCACCGGGCCGGCCCAAAACCACTGATCTTTAGGATGAATCAATAGCAATTCAAAGCAACTAAGACCTCCTGTGTACACCCTAATAATGTTTTTAAGCACACAGATGCGTAAGCTCACCAATGGCAAACTCATTACAAGAGCTCTGATGGCTCTCTCCAAGAAAATACAAAACTGTGAAAGGTCAAAGCAGGTTAATTAAAGCCACAAAGCACCCGGTTTCTAGGGAGACTGAAGACAGATGCCAAAACGCAGGAAAGGCTGGATTCTAACATGATACGAAGAATACCACCCACTTTCAACTTGCAAGTAGCAACTTATTCTTCTCTGGTCAGTGACGCTACTCCAAACACACCCAGCCAGGCACGCTGTCAGCGTCAGTGCATGCAAAGAGGGTGTGAGCAGCCCACACCTGATGAACAAAATGACGGTGCTAGAGCCTAGAGCTCAGCCCTGGCCACGTGCTGGTGTGCGGAAGGGTCCCCAGGCTGCTGAGAAGCTAAAGTCATTCAATAGAAAGTGCCACCTTTTAGCCTGAGATATTGCTCTCCATAGTTTCTTGGTGTTAAGATGTCCATTCTCCTACTGAACGATGATGCAGATGGCAAGTGTTTGTATTTTCACATTCATTAAAAATAAAAAAGTAGAAAATCCTACATCAGCCCTTTACCATTTAAAAAAAAATCATACTGACTTATAAGATCCAAACATCTATGAACTGCTGCTCTAAGACAAAGGCTTCAGGTTCCAAAGTGAACTCCAAACACTGCTGGGTGGGGTGGGGGCGGCAGCAAGGGGAGTCTGGCAGGGCTTCCACCAGCCCTTGGTCAACCAAAGCAGTTCCCCCTCTACCTTTTAGACAGACTGGGTGCACTACTCTAAAGAGGTTAGGAAATCCCTGCTCTGTGGCAAGGGCTGGCAACCTCCTGAGCGTGGGGCCATTCACACATAGCATAGCACTTCTCCGTGGGCCAGCAGACTGTGAAGTCGAGGAAGAAGGGGAGACTGATGGAGAACTCCAAGAGCACACCTCTCCTCCTTCTGTGGACCGGAGTGGAGAGCCAAGTTCAGCTCGGACTGCCACCCGGTGGCAGCATGGGCTGCCAACAACTCTTGCAACTGCACCACCAGCTGCCCTGCCACACTCCCTGAGTACTCAGAGGAAAACCCCCTGAAGTGCCCTCTGCTAACTAACGTATGAATCTGGTCAACTCCCAACTGCTCATACAAATGGAGGAGACAAGTGACACGGACAAGTCAGACAGCAGGCAATCTCAGAACTACTGTGCTCAGCTGCAAGCATCCTTGTTCTGATATCTGAATATGGGTATGGCCCGTATTCTAGAAATTCAACTTGTGAGGTCCCCTTGACACTCTGTCAGGGTGGCTTGTACAACCAACAGAACACAGAGGAAGGGGTGGTGCATGGCTTCTGAGGCTAGGCATAGAGACAACATCACTCTGCCTTGCTCTCACAGACCACTCCCTCCTGAGTGCCATGAGGATACCCAAGCAGCTCCACAGAGGCCTGCCCACAGCCATGTGAGCGTGCCACTGTGGTGGCAGACCCTCCAGCCCCAGTCAAGCCTTCAGATGATGCAGCCCTGGCTGACCTCCTGGCTGCAACTTCATAAGACACCCTGAGCCAAAACCACCCAGCAAAGCTGCTTCTGAGTTCTGACCCTCAGAAACTGGGTGAGATCACAAATGTTTGTTGTTTTAAGCCCATAACAGGTTCTGAGGTGATCCATTTCACAGCATCGGATATCTAATACAATCATGACTGCCTCAACTCAGACTTTGCCACTTGGGACCAGTTATCCACAAGTGAGGGCCAACATAGGACAAAGGGCAAGAAAAGAAGAAAAATTACGGATTTTATGGAATGCCAATGTAAATATAAATGGAATATTTTCACATGACACAGAGCACCCATTCTTTGGGTGAGGATTCTGCTGTCTTCAGACACGAGATGACACCATGACACTCCAATGGGAAGTGAAGCGACCATGGACTTGTTTTCTCCTTCTCCAGCCTGCATGACTTAATTGCCGCTACATGCAACATGCTCTGTCAGTTCTGTACTAAGAATGTTTCTCGTAGCGCGTCGTCATTCTATCTAGTCTATTAACTTCCACACAAAGGCCCTGGTGCTTCAAGAGGCCTGATGTTCTGGCTCAATCATACTGAACATCAAAGTAAGTTATAAACTGTACATGAAGAGGATTCACTTCTAAATGGGTGTCGTCATTCTATCTAGTCTATTAACTTCCACACAAAGGCCCTGGTGCTTCAAGAGGCCTGATGTTCTGGCTCTATCATACTGAACATCAAAGTAAGTTATAAACTGTACATGAAGAGGATTCACTTCTAAATGGGAGTTCCCACTTACCTCGGATGCAATTTTGGCTCCATGCAGCGTGCCATATTGTCTTCCTTCAATTACGCCCAAGCTACTGCCTTCTTCATAGCCTTCCTGATACCCTTCCCCGTGAAACCTGTGACGGAGAAGCAGCACATTTCATAAAAAAAGCAGAAGAGAGTACTTTTTCTGCAGAAACTTTTCTCTCTTATGTTACCCAGACCCAGTAACAAGGCAGAGAATAGTAGAAAAAGCCTAAAATTCAAGTCAGGAAACGCAGCTTCCACTCCCAGCTCTGCCACTTCCTAAGTCTCTTCTCTGTCAAGTCACCGTACCTCTTGAAGCCCAATTTGCTTCGTCTGCAATAAGGAGGGTGAGCTAAGTGAGTGATTCCCAAACCTGGTGAAGCACCAGAAACACACAAGAGAAGTTGAAAGATACAAATTCAAAAACCATGTTCCCTGATACTCAGCAAATCTGGAGTAAGGCCCAGGAATCTACATTTCAAATTCTCCCGGTTGACTCTGGTCTGCAGTCAGCTTAGGCAGCCAAAGTTCTGCGACTCTACAATGACAACTAACTCAAGTCACTTGTTTCCAAAAAACTCTGCAATATATACAGTACTTTTCTACATATCTCACTAGAGTAACAGAGAAATGCCATCAGATCACTACAAAATGTACAACGAACGTGGAACCTGGAGCAGCACTGACTTTGAGGTGGCACTATCTTAAACTGAAGTCAAGGAAGATGAAAGGAGTTTTTCGGAGCACTCCATAAGGCAGAGGGTATAGCGAACCACTTATTAGCTGGGAAGTGACTGTGTCTCATCTGTAAAACAGGGAGAATAATAGAACCCACTTCGTAAATAGGGCTAAAACGGGCAACTGGGGTGTAACACTGAGCTCCCTGTCTGACTCAGCAAGCGCTAAACAAATGTCAGCGACTGATTGTTAAATGTCCCCTCACTATCTTAACTGACATCTATCGACGTCTCCTGTGGGCTGGGCACTGGAAGACAGCCAAAGGCAACCCACCGCTTCCCCCGTCACAGCCCTTGGCGCTCCCCAGAGACTTTGGAGGGGACCGGATGACATCTGACACATTTATCAGCATGCCCATGAATATTGCCACACGCTGCTGCCGTATGTCCTACGATTAAAGGACAAGAAAAAGTGGCAGCTCCCAGATGGCAAAGGTCTGTCCCTCCAGAGGACGGGGCGTCCCCGGAGGAAGGGAGTCATCAGGTCAAGCAGATGCTTGGGGCAGCCCCCGATGAAGGAGGCGGGCCTGGAGGAGCATCTGGGGACGCGACCCCGCCAGAGCAGGCGATGAGTCGAGGAGAATCAATAGCCTCTCAGCCCCGCACCGCACAGCGCTGTCCCACGCACGTGCCGGCGGGACGCGAGGCCGCCCCCGCCCGCAGCCAGCAGCAAAGCAGCAGAGGGAGGGGCAGACAGGGCGGGGGTGCGGGGTCCCAGCCCAGCCTCGCCACTCACCTCTCATCCGCCATCACGATGGCGTCAAATATGTCCTGACTCCCAGCCATAGCGGCAGCCCGACCCGCTCCTGCCCCTCGAGCTCCGGCCACGCTGCGCTGCCGTTGCCAACCCGCGAGGCTAGAGCCGCACGCTCCACTTCCTGGGAGGCGAAGTCTACTTCCGCAAGCGGTTGCGCGGGGCAGGCCGGGTAAGGACGGCACGCGGGAGGGCCCAGAAACAGCCGGCATGGGGCCAAGACGCATGCGCGGGCGCGGCGGCGGGTGCAGCTGGGCTCGGACGAAGCCCCGCCCGGTGGCCCCTGCGCCTCCCTCTGCTCCAGCGATGGGCC